CTGCCACTTTGTACAGCTCCATGGGTTGCTTTTTTGTTTTTTTGAGACAGAGTCTCACTCCTGTCACCCATGCTGGAGTGAAGTGGCACAATCTCAGCTCACTGCAGCCTCAACCTCCTGGGCTCAGGTGATTCTCACACCACAGCCTTCTGAGAAGCTGGAACTACAGGTGTGTGCCACCATACCCAGCTAATTTTTTGAACTTTTTTAGTAGAGACAGAGTTTTGCCACATTGGCCAGGCCGGTCTTAAACTCCTGAGCTCAAGTGATCTGCCTACCTCAGCCTCCCCAAAAAAGTGCTGGGATTACAGGCGTGAGCCATTGTGCCTGGCCATGGGCCCTTATTACAGCTGCCTGATCACAATCATCAGGAAACAAATATTCTGTTGGTGTCTGGAATAGAAGGTGTTAGGCTATAAATCAAAAAAATCAACAAGCAAAAAGAAGCTAACACATACTATGATATTCAGGTTTTTGTTGAATATAGTGTTTCTAGTTGCAAGACATAAATTAAGATGACATCACTAAATGAAATACTGATATTAAAATGTTGTAATCTTATGTACTTGAGAAAACTTTTCATGAGTAGTAACCTTTTTTTCTAATTCTTATATAAACTCTAATGAATATTCATTTATGGTGAAATGTTTTTAAATTTTTATTACCTGTTTTTCCTTTCATCTTGATCTTCATCCACCATTTCCCATGTCAAGTACTTTAGGTTTTATAGCCTGAGTGATGCTTGTGCACAGATTCATGTTGTCTAGCTACTATGTGTTTGTGTGGAAATGTACAGCATTTATGTAATTAGATATTTTCCCCTGTATCTCTCTCTCTTTTGTTATTTGTACATACTTAAGACATCCCATATTTGTTTCAAGAAGACAGATTTTAAATACTCAAGAAGTAGATTCACAAAGCACATTTTAAAACTCTTAGATTTGTAGCAAGTTAGATCTCATTTATTCTGTCCTTGCTTCCTAATGAAGCAAATTTCTGACAAACACATCAGTAGGATTGTCTTGCCTGGTGAGGGCAAGAAGAAAGGCTACTTGTGGACACTATGATGTATGTAGCGCATATGTATACATGATGTCTATGGAGCTAAAAAGTTTGATGTGAATAGCTTAGTGAAAATAATAACTTAAGAGCTTGTGAAAAATATTTAGTGTTCCTGAGACAAATTACTTAGTATAACTAAAAGTATAAATTATAAAATATATAATATTCAGCTATGTACAGGACAGATCTGATAATAAAAAGAGCATTTCTTTGTAAGTACATTTATATTGTCTATGACATTTTTTGGTAATGTTTTAGCATTTCTGTTTTTACAAGCGTTACTGGTATATTTTTTCCTCCAGTGAGTCTTTCTAGGGTCAGGAGAGTTAACAAACCCTTTCTATTCAGAACAGTTTCCTTCCTGCCATGCTTTTAACTATCATGCTGTCTTTCCTTCTTTCCTTCTATTTTTCCTTGCTTGTCCTCTATCATGCAGTGCTGATACCAGATTTACAGAACATATGAGTGAATCATTCCTTTGACACAGGTGTGGTGCAAAGACTTCTGCTGGAACTTTCTGTGGCTGTGACCTGGTGAACTGGCTAATTGAAGTTGGCCTTGCCTCTGACCGTGGTGAAGCTGTGATATACGGAGACAGGCTGGTACAAGGGGGAGTCATCCAACATATTACCAACGAGTATGAATTCCGGGATGAGTACTTATTTTACAGATTTCTTCAAAAGAGTCCTGAACAGAGTCCTCCTGCTATTAATGCAAACACTCTCCAACAGGAAAGATATAAAGAAATTGAGCATTCATCCCCACCCTCACATTCGCCTAAGACCTAAATTATGAAGGGGAGAACCCTACATGGGAATCATATTCTAGCCCCATATTCATTACTTTTTAGCTGGGTGACCTTGGGCCAGTTCCAGAGGCAACATCTCTGAGCCTCAGTTGTCTCTTCTGTAAAATGTGATAAGATGTGTTCCCACCATGTGCTCAGGGTCTGTGATTTTGTGTGTATGTAAAATACATAGGAAGCTGACTTATGAAAAAGAAAACCAAATTAAAGTTCTGATACTGAATATAATAATTATAGTCATCCTTTAGTATCCACAGGGGATTGGTTCCAGGACTCCTGAAGATCCCAAAATCTGAGGATGCTCAAGTCCCTTATATAAAATGGTGTAGGCCAGGCAAGGTGGCTCACGCCTGTAATCCCAGCACTTTGGGAGGCTGAGGCGGGTGGATCACTTGAGGTCAGGAGTTCAAGACTAGCCTGGCCAACATGACAAAAACCTATCTCTACTAAAAAATACAAAAAAATTAGCCAGGTGTGGTGGCAGGTGCCTCTAGTCCCAGCTACTTGGGAGACTGAGGTGGGAGTTCCCCTTGAGCCTGAGAGGGGTAGGTTGCGGTTGCAGTAAGCCAACATTGCATCACTGCACTCCAGCCTGGGTACAGAACAAGACCCTGTCTCAAAAACAAAAAAAAACCAAGCAAAAAAACCTTAGAAGCACCAGTTTTTTAAAAGTTTGTCTTTTCTTTTCTACCCAAATTACTAATCTATGCCATTAAGGAAAAGAATTAGAACCTCCATAAATATTATCTCCACAATCCTTCTGCAGAAGTATAATCTGATCTTTAACTTTTATGCTACAAATAATAATTTGAGCAGATTAATTTGAATTTTATAAACAAAATTATTGCCATATGAGGTATCATTTCTGTATTTGAACAACGCATCATAATGCAGGATAGCCCTTCTACTTTATTCCCTGCAGTTAGAAAAGAAAAAACTATATAGTATATAGTTCAAGCCAGTATTTAAAAATTCTAAACCTAGGATAGGCATGGTGGTTCACACCTGTAATCCCAGAACTTTGGAAGGCTGAGGTTGGTGAATTGCTTGAGCCCAGGAGTTCGAGACCAGCCTGGTCAACCTGGTGAATTCCTGTCTCTACTAAAAACAAAACAAAAAAAATAGCCAGGTGTGGTAGCATGCACCTGTAATCTCAGCTTACTTGGGAGGCTGAAGCAAGAGAATTGCTTGAACCTAGAAGGAGAGGTTGTGTAGTGAGCTGAGATCCTGCCACTGCACTTCAGCCTGGGTAACAAGAGTAAAACGCTGTCTCCCCTGACAAAAAAAAAAAAAAAAACTCTAAAGATTACATTTAGAATTTAGTCTTTTTTAAGTGTCGATGTATAAAAAAATATAATTTTTAAAATTACTAAATGTTGCCTTCTCTTAGTCTATTATTTCAGCTACTATAACAAAGTATCAAAAACTTGACAGTTTATAAACAACAGAAGCTTATTTCTCACACTTCTGGAGGTCATGAAGCCCAAGATTAGGGCACCAACAGATCTGATGTCTGGTGAGGGTCAAATTTCTGGCTCAGAGATGGTACCTTCTTGCTGTGTCCTCACATAGTAAATGGGAAGAACTGGTATCTTCAACCCCTTATAAGGGCATTAATTCCACTCATTAGGGCTCCACCCTCATGACCTAATAACCTCTTAAAGGCTCTACCTCCTAATTCCAACACATTGAGGACTGGGTTCCAGCATATGAATTCTGGGGAGGACGTAGACATTTAGACCATAGCATCCTCAGTTATCTGAGGTAAATTTAAAAGAGATCTTCAGTAAATTTAAAAGAGATCTATTCACATGTCCTTTGAACATCTTAATTATTAGATGTCAGTGCTGGTTTAACTTATTTTAAACATGTTTCAGATATTTATTTAATTATATTTTTAGTGTCTCATGTAAAAGTTATTTATAAAATAATTTATAGGGTTAGAGCCATTGCCCTTTTAATGCAACAAATATACAATTTTTAAAAAACTCACATGGAGGCCAGGGTCAGTGGCTCATGCCTGTAATCCCAGCACTTTGGGAGGCCAAGGTGGGCAGATCATCTGAGGTCAGGAGTTTGAGACCAGCCTGACCAACATGGAGAAACCCCATCTCTACTGAAAATACAAAATTAGCTGGGCATGGTGGCACATGCCTGTAATTCCAGCTACTCAGGAGGCTGAAGCAGGAGAATCACTTGAACCCCGGAGGCAGAGGTTGCAGTGAGCTGAGATCATGCCACTGCACTCCAGCCTGGGTGGCAAGAGGGAAACTCCATCTCAAAAACAAGCAAACAAACAAACAAAAAACCCTGCATGGAAGCCTATATTTATTAATAACAGATAAGTTATATTTTAGTGTGCTATTAACCTGTACCAACTTTAAGTTGTGATTAGTGAATGGGGATGTTTTGCTGTCTTGCTGTGGAATTTTCCTTTTTTAAATATGACCACATTATGACTCTGAATGCTCAGGGTAAGCCTAAGGCCTCATTGCTGTTACCAGGAGACTTTTATAGTTACAATAATAAAGATATTAATTCTCATGCATGCAGACAACTCAAACTCAAGTGGAGAATTTGTTTGTGAACAAGTCATAAATACTTATCTTCTGTTATTTGCACGAATGGAATCTGCAACATTTTTTTCCAAGGGAGACACTAAAAGAAAACCCTGAATCAGAATGATCTGCAGTTTCAGATAATAAAGGCTTTTAAGAGACATTTTTAGAATTAAAAATATGCTAATTTTATTAAATGAAAATATTTGTAACTGTTACTTTCTCACTGATAAAGCAAGTTTCTCAATAAAATACCTATTTTAACTTGCATTGCTGACATCTTTTCTTTGACTAATCTGAATAGTGCAAAAGCCATTATAGAGGTCTTTTCTATACATTCTCAATGTTTTCTTAAGTGGGTTTCCTGAGTTGTTTTATTCTTCATGACTCTGGGTTCTGCAAACAGGGTTTCCTAATTGTGCATTCTATAAACACTTTTATGAATGAGTTGATATGACATTAGAGTCCTTTTCATACATTTCATCATTTTCAATATGTATAATGACAGCTAGAAAAAAGGTGATAAAAAATAGACTAAAACCTATATCTTTTTCTTCAGCATAGTCAATTGTTTCTTTTTTTTTTTTTTTTTTTTAACCGGGCACCTCTTGATGTGCAGAATCAATTGTTTTCTTAACTCTCAATGAGTAACTCCATGCCTAGCTTGTACTTAGCTTTCAATATTTTTGGATGAAGATAAAGGGTATTTGGCATTTTGAGAACAACAATTAGTGATCAGTAAATTTCTAAAGCAAGAAAAATGTGAAACTAGTGTTTTATATGTTTGTTATGCAGCAGAATACAGCTCTTAGTGTTTACCCCTTCAAATCTCACGTAAAATATTAAATTAGGCCACTGGACATAGATAGTCATGTGATAAGTGATGGCTGGGAAAAAAGTTCAGGATCATAAATGTTATCACCATTCTTCAAGAAAAGATGAGATTATAAATTTCTGCAATTGGTATGATAAAAGGCTGAATTAATTAATGAAAAAGAGAAAACATTAGCTCTGTAGTTTCTGTAGAAGAAACTAACTCTCCAAAATTCTAGGCTACATAGTTACTTCTAGAGCAAAACATTTGATTCATGATTAACATATAAAAACTGATGTTTTCATCACATATCAAACAAAATAGCCTTCTCTAGAATACTCATATTATTGCCCTGGCTTATTAAGTAATAGTAAATAATACACAATATCTAAGAGGTGACAGGTTAACCTGAGGCTTATCAAAGGATACCAAGTTGTGCAGATAGGTTGTCTAGATAATTTCTTCAACTTTACATTTCCACAGGCAGAGAAGAGGCACTGTCTAAGCTCTTCCCATCGGTCATTTAACAGATATTTATTGAGCAATCTAGCATGTACCAGACTCAATCTGAACACTGAGCATACAAGAGTGGAAACAAATATGATTCCATCCTCATGGAGCTTCTATTCTGTGAAAAATAGATGTTAGACATGATTAACCTGTGATCAGGAGTGCCTCTAAGAGTATGTAAGATAGAACTTGTGGTGTGAGGAAAACTTCCCTGAGGAAGTCATGTCTTAGCGAAACTTGAAAGGATGTAAAGTATTACTTATGTAAATGGGAGCACATGGAATGAATAGTACAGACAGTACAGCCATGAGGAAGGCACATTCAAGGACATGAAAGAGCAGCATAGTAGAAACGTAAAACACAATGGTTGAAGGTGTAATAAGATATAGATGAGGCAGATCAGTGTGATCTTTTTGGCATTTAAAGAGTTTTAGACTCAACAATAAGAAAATAACCTGAGTAGGCCGGGTGCGGTGGCTCAAGCCTGTAATCCCAGCACTTTGGGAGGCCAAGGCGGGTGGATCACGAGGTCAAGAGATCGAGACCATCCTGGTCAACATGGTGAGACCCCGTCTCTACTAAAAATACAAAAAATCAGCTGGGCATGGTGGTGCGTGCCTGTAATCCCAGCTACTCAGGAGGCTGAGGCAGGAGAATTGCCTGAACCCAGGAGGCGGAGGTTGCGGTGAGCCGAGATCGCGCCATTGCACTCCAGCCTGGGTAACAAGAGCGAAACTCCGTCTCAAAAAAAAAAAATAAATAAAATAAAATAAAATAACCTGAGTAAACAATGGGCAAAAGATCTAAACAGACAACACAGCAAAGAAGATAAACAGATAAAACCATATGAAAAGATGTTCAACATCATATATCTTCAGGGAATTTTAAATTAAAACAAGATACCATTATGTACCTATTAGAAGGGCCAAAATCCAAAATTCTGACAATAAATGCTGACAAGAATATAGGGCATCAGAGCTCTTATTCAGCGCTGATAGGGATGCAAAGTGCTGGCCACTCTGCAAAACAGTTTGGCAGTTTCTTACAAACTAAACATAATATACTCTTACCACATGATCCAGCAATTGTGCTCCTCAGTATTTACACAAAATGAGTTGAAAACATGTCCACACAGAAACCTTCACATGGATATCTACAGCAGGTTTATTCATAATTTTCAAAATTTGGAAGCAACCAAGATGTCCTTCAATAGTGGTACATTCAGACAATGGAATATTATTTAGAACTAAAATGAGCTATCAAGTCATGAAAAGACATGGAGGAACCTTAAATGCATATTACTAAGTAAGTTAAAGAAGACAATCCTTAGAAATCACATACTGTATGATTCTGATGACATGACATATGGAAAAGGCAAAACTATGGAGACAGTAAAAAGATCAGTTGTTGCCAGGGGTTGGAGGGAGAGTGGGATAAATAGGCAGAAGATTTTTAGGGCAGTGAAACTACTCTGTATAATACTATAATGGTGGATACATGTCATTTTACAATTTTCAAAGCCCATAGGATGTACCATATCAACAGTGATCGCTAACGAACTATGGACTTCAGGTGATAATGTGTCAAGGTAGGGCCATCGATTCTAACAAATGTACTATTCTGGTACTGTGATGTTGACAGTGGGGGAGGCTATGCAGGTGTGGTAATAGGGGCTATATGGAAACTCCGTACTTTCTGTTCAATTTTGCTGTGAACCTGAAAGTGCTCCAAAAAACAAAGTCTCTTTTCAAAAAGTTTTAGGAGGGGGATTCATAATCAAATTTAAATTTTTTATAGATTACTCTGGCTGCAGTGACTCATGTGGATGGAGATAAAGAACAAAAGGAGTGTGTAGGAGAAGAGTTAACTGCAATGGTCCAGGTAAGAGATGGTGCTAATTTAGTCTAAGGTGGCAGCAAAGGAGAAGGTGACAACATGCTTGCCCTAGAGAGGGAAATAAGATTCCTACATGTGTCCCTGAGGAAATCAATGAAGTGTGTGCCCTTGGTTTCCTCATCTATTAAAAGAGAGAAGAGGAGTATAGGGGTTGGCCAGGGGTCTTCATGTAGAGACAGCCTATCACTGAACCAAACTTAAGGCTAACAGAATCAAGACAGTACTTGAGTCAGACATCTTTTCCTTTGTAATGTCAGCCCTATATTAGACAAGAGCAGTATCAGGCAGATGATGGTATTATGAGAGAACTTTGAAAACATAACTTCCTGAGCACTCTTTGAATATAATGACCCACTTCTTTATTAACCTAATTGTGTTGATAGCAATTAGCAAATATGATAATATAACCAAATACCAAAATGGACAATCTAGAAACCCAAAAATACTTAGTGTTATTTTCAGTTGGATTTTTCTTTTGTTTATATTTGCAATTTTGAGTCTTACTTGATAATCTTTATGTAACCTAAACAATGTTTTATAAACTTTAGGAAGCTGTTACTCATTTATAATATGCATAATATATAATGCATTATAGTGTTAATGTTATCATGTTCATAATATACTAATAATTTTGTTTCATTGCCACTACCTCATTCTTGTTTCTGTTTTCACTGAGTGAACAGAAGTTACCAATGAGAGAGATTTCAGACCCAGAAACAATATATCCTAAGGTTTGGATCTTTTATCTTATTCTCTAATCTCCCAAATAAGCTCTTGTAAAAATATATCTTATTAACATAAAAGCCTATTAAGGAGAATGACCCTAAAAATGCTAGATAATCAGAGCTACAAGCTCACTGGTTAGCCAAATCTTGACAAAGAGCATGTCTGAGTTTACTAAAAGTGAATTTGCAGAATTAATATACTGTATTAACAATGTGTAAATCTAGAAATTTTTCTTGTTAGAGCTGGTTAATATTTGCCTAAAGCACAAAGAACTCATCACTTGAGATGTTTTTCATGAATAAGAAAAATCTGCTTTCTTGATGTAACTGAGAAAATGATTTGAGAGTACTAAATAATTATAATAAACATAAATCCATGCATCATTTTAATGTTTCATTCTTAACATAGAATTGAATACTTAATTATCATGACAAAGTTACTATAGCTAAAGAAAATAATAAGTACATCACCTGAAATAACACCTATATCCCATGATACATTAATCCAGTTCCAATGTTTTCTTTCTGAGTATTTCAGCAACAATGTAGTTTTAATAGTCAAGATACCACTTGAATGCTATCCAGGAATAATCAGATCTGCTCAAATTAGGTTTATATAATTTACCAAGGTGACAGATTATAACTTCGGAGATTGCTGACCATTGATCACTAAGAACTAATATTAGCTGACCATATGATCACTAAGAACTAACATTTGACTGATAAATTTGAATTTCATCTTTTGTACACTGAGGAAAAAGATTAACAATTTTATCCACATCAAGATGCTTGTTTTGAAGGATTGATTCCATCTGTCTGAATTGCTCTTTCTCCAGTTTCCTCATGTAGTCCAGCATTATTTTGGCTTTTTCCTAAACAATTAAAAATATAAAGATAAACATATATACACATACACATGAATCTAATCAAATTCCAACCCACCTCTACAGATAAGGTTTGTTCATTCTGGCTTCTACTTGTGGTTTGGTTCCCTCCTTGTTCTTTAGAGATAGAAAGAATGAAATTCTTTGGGGAAATCATTACTTTAAATTGAGTTAATGTATGAATACCAAACTATTAATTATTTTTAGTAGAAAAGACAAAAATAATTATGAGACTAGTTTATAAGTAAGAGACCTAAAAGACAACAGGAGAATAGAAAATCTCATATGAATTGTGTATGTGGGAGGTTGCTGAAAACTGAGGCTAAAATATTTTTATCAATTTATATCTTTTATATTTAAAACCAATATCAGATTAAGAAAACAGAATAGTGATGTTCAGGAAAAAATCAACTAAAAGGAGACATTTCCTCTATAACTGCATCCTTATTTCAATAAAGGGAGAAAAAAAGATCCATGACTCCTACAGAAAGAAGCAGTTTTTAAATTGTTAATGAATCACCATGATCAGTTATGAAGTAGTTATCTAGAGGAAAAGTATGTAAGAAAAAAGTTGGCTGGGTGTGGTGGCTCATGCCTGTAATCCCAGCACTTTGGGAGGCCTAGGCGGGCGGACCCTCTGAGGTCAGTAGTTCAATACCAGCCTGGCCAACATAGTGAAGCCCCAACTCTACTAAAAATACAAAAATTAGCCAGGCATGGTGGCGCGAGCCTATAGTCCCAACTGTTCGGGAGGCTGAGGCAAAAGAATCACTTGAACCCAGGAAGCAGAGGTTGCAGTGAGCCGAGATTGAGCCACTGCACTCCAGCCTGGGTGACAGAGTGAAACTGTCTCAAATAAAAAGAAAAAAAGAAAAGAAAAAAGTTACTAGAAAGTGAGCATAATTTTTAAAATTTGGACCATTATGGGGTAGAAATCTACAAAACAAAGACTGTTAACATGGATTTCAATATGAAATTGTATGCAGTTTTTTTCTGAGGAAACACGTCATATTAGTGGGAAAAAATTGATTTTGTCTATAAATGGTATGGAATAATTAGTTACCTTTTTGGAAAACAAAGTTAGAATCCCTACTTCATGAAATACACAAAAGTAAATTACAGATGGACTCAAGAACTAAATTAAAAAAAAAACACATATATGCTAGAAGTTATATTTATATTGAGGTGAGACAGGCCTTTTGAAACATGAAATTAAGGTGCCTTAAAGCAAAAGACTAGTACATATAATTGACTAAGTTTAAAATTTTTGTCTGACAAAAAAGTTAAATGCCAAACAATAAACTGGGGTAAAATTTTGCCTTATTACAAACAGTTAATATTCACATATTTTTGCCTATTTAAAGCAAAAAAAAACAAAAATAACCCAAAATCAATGGAAAAATAGCCTAAGGGAAAAAATAGACAAGTAATTTAAAAGGAAATACTCATGACCAATAAACACAGGAGAAGGTTTTCAATCTTACTAGTAATCAAGAAATTTAAATTAAAACTACCCATTAGATTGACTCTCCCTAAGACACAAAAGTAGTTACTTACAGAGCCAGGACCAGAACCCAGCTCTTTCACACTTCTTCTCTCAAATTCCATTATCTTTCTACTTTTATGCTTTTTAAGTAAAGGCTAAGGTAGTTGCAGCTGGCCAGGCTCAGTGGCTCACGCCTATAATCCCAGCGCTTTGGGAGGCCGAGGCAGGTGGATTACAAGGTCAAGAGATCGAGACCATCCTGGTCAACATGGTGAAACCCCATCTCTACTAAAAAAAAATACAAAAATTAGCTGGGCATGGTGGTGCACGCTTGTAGTCCCAGCTACTCGGGAGGCTGAGGCAGGAGAATTGCTTGAACCCAGGAGGCAGAGGTTGCGGTGAGCCGAGATCGCGCCGCGCCGAGATCACGCCATTGCACTCTAGCCTGGGTAACAACAATGAAACTCCATCCCCCACCCCCGAAATAGTTACAGCTTTAAATTTTTTATTTAAAATAAAAATTTTCAAATAAAAATCGGAAGTCTAGCAGAGCTCACTGCTTTAAGCATAAGTGAAATAGGTGAGGGAAAAAAATGGTGTGGCAACAATGCCAACACTGCAGACAAAAATAAGTAATTACCCCGAGGAAAATCCATTTTAGTGTGGAGAGAATATAAATGTATATGCCTTGACAAAGTAAAAGGAATTATGGGAAAAAAACCCAGAAGGTAGTAGAAACAGATGAAAAAAGATTTAAAATGGTTAATGTTTTCTTTCATTGCAGGGAGTCAATGGATGGATGCCTTTAGGCAGACTTTCCATTCCCTTCTTATCTATCGTTTTTCTGTAGCGGGCTGAATAGGTATAAACATTATAAAATTATCTATCTATTGATGCCAGAAAAAAAGAAATCCTTATTTTTCTTTAGCAGACTGGATAGGCAAGAACATTATAAAATTACCTTTCTATGCCAGTAAAAAATAAATCCTTATTTCTAGAGAAGAGATATATTTTGAGTGATATATTACTCTTCTATAATACTTACATTTTAAAATAATGAGGATGCATCACTTTTTAAAAACTAAAAGTCATTATTAGTTTAAGTCTCTGGGGTTTTAAGTCACCTTCAATTAATTTTAATCTGGGGCTGTATGATTAAGAAAATTACATTAAGAACCCAGGCCAACTGCCCTTCAGAGGCTTTGTAAATTTTGGTTATATACTAAGCAAGTTACTTTAACTCTTGTAGATTCAGATACTTTATCAGCAAAGTGAGAATCAAAACAGTGGTTGTGGAGATTAGATAAAATAATCCATGTAAAAATACTATGTAAGTGCTCAACAAATGTTAGCTATTGTTAGTATGTTTAATGTACTAAATTTCTCTACAAGATTCACAATATATATATTCATAACCAAAGATAAAAATAATACAGCTCTACTATAGTCTGAGCATCCAAACTATTCCTAAACCTGTATTTTTTATAAGAGGGGAGGAAAGCTGATACTCCAAAGTTCAAAATACGGATTGAATCAAACTTTATACTTAATGATACAACAAATAATATAATCTAGCATACCTCATTATTATTTACTACTTCCAATGCCTGTTGATGTTTCTGGTAGAGTGGGTGTCTTCTGTCAGGCTTAAAATGTGACTTCTTTTTAACTAGGTCTCCAAGTTCAAATGTTGGTGAACTGGTATCCAACAGTTGTGAAATATGTGGCACAAATATGAAAGGCTTAAAAACAGATCTAGAAGAAAGAATCTTTAAATTATCATTCAATATATTAAAAATATTCAGTGTTATTCTAAGTCTTCCAAGATTCATTTTAATTAGAAATTTCTGTTAATGATGCTACAAACTAACTTGTTCCTGTCACCTTAGTTATACCATGCCTGTCTTCCCTGGTACACTGGGGTCTCCTTTGGGGCAGAGAACCATACTTTATTTAGTCTTGTGTTTCCATGAACCTAACAGAGGACCTGGCACATAAACTGTCAGCAAAGTTATAGTTTGTCTTTCCTACTTCAAACTCCACAGTTGGAGGATAAGAACAACCTTTAATGTTACACATGGAGAATTAAGACTTGGGGTAAACATCAGTGCCAGTGTCAGTAAGGACAATGACTGGGCACAGTGGCTCATGCTTGAATTCCCAGCACTTTGAGAAGTCAAGGTGGGAGACTCTCTTGAGACCAGGAGTTTAAGAACAGACTTGGGCAACATAGCAAGACCCCATCTCTACAAAAAAATTAAAAATTAGCCAGGCATGCACCTGCAGTACCAGCTACTTGGGAAGCTGAGGGAGGAGGATCACTTGAGCCCAGGAGTTCAAGGCTACACTGTGCTGACTCTGCCACTGCACTCCACTCTAGCCTGGGTGACAGAGCAAGACCCTGTGTCAAAAAACAAAAGGAGGACTCAAAGACTTTATTCCATTTTCTTGAGGATATTTTTAATACTGTGAAAGGCTATAACACTAAGAGAGAGTGAATATAAAATCATTTCTAAATGTGAGATACTAGTGACTTAAATCAAGATGTTCTACAAAAGTACTACATAAAATATAAACTGGGCTGGGTGCAGTGGCTCACGCCTGTAATCCCAACACTTTGGGAGGCTGAGTCAGGCAGATCACTTGAGGCCAGGAATTTGAGACCAGCCTGGGCAACATGGTGAAATCTCGTCTCTACTAAAAACACAAAAATTAGTCAGTGTGGTATTGCATGCCTGTAATCCCAGCTACTAGGGATGCTAAGGCATGAGAATCTCTTGAATTTGGGAAGTGGAGGTTGCAGTGAGCTGAGATCATGCCATTGTACTCCAACCTCAGTGATAGAGCGAGACCTCTGTCTCAAAAAAATAATAGTTAAATAAAACTGGAACTATTGATATGTTAAGTTGTACATGTATTTTCTAGATATGAGTGCATAAGTAAATCTTGTACAACTACATCATTTAACCTTTTTACTGTTATGAATTATCTAATATCATATCTGAAATCTGAGTAAGAAAATCTACTTTCTTTTCTTAACAATATTAAATCTATTTGTAGGAAGAAGGAGTAGGGATAATGCGTACAAGAAACTATTCACATTTCCTTCCCATAAAAAGAACAGTTACACATATGTGAATATTGCAGATTAAAGCCTGAACAGAAAATACATCAAAAATTATTGTCCTATTTGTATAACAAAAATTTATCCTGACAAAATCATTAACATACTAATGACTCTACTCCACCCCCTGACCCCTTGCTGGTTTATAGTATTTTGTGGCTTCACCTCTCGGGATCAGGAGTCCCTGTAAAGAAGTGAATGCAAGGAAGGCTGGAGTCTTGAGGTAAAATAGAAACCATGCTTGCAGTGGTCAAGAATTCTCCCTCCATATTGATGCCACTTGGTTTGTCCCGAAGAATTTCCATCATTGTTTCAAAAGTTATATTTCCTAGGAAGATAATTTAAAAAATTATCAAATACATATGTATATACAAATGCTTTGCAAATATGAACTGCTTTCTCTACTGATAAATGAGATATTAGTCTTGACATAAATTAAGAGACTGACTATAAACAAACTTTGTATCAACTGCAATTAGATTCATTCCACTGTCACAAGAAAGGTATTTTATTTTAAATATAAACTAGGCAAAGTTTCAAAGCCATTGTAACAGGTAAAAACTCCCTAGGAAGAAGGAATTAATAATACAAAAATATATTCAATCCCATTGCCCTTACAGAATTTTGTTATTATTTTTATTTTTTTTAAGACAGAGTCTCGCTCTGTCAGGCTAGAATGCAATGGTGTGGTCTTGGCTCACTGCAATCTCTGGCTCCCAGGTTCAAGCGATTCTCGTGCCTCAGCCTCTGGGACTACAGTCATGTGCCACCATGCTGACTAATTTTTGTGTTTTTAGTAGACACGGGGTTTCACCATGTTGGCCAGGCTGGTCTCCAACTCCTGACCTCAGGTGATCCTCCCCAGCTCAGCCTCCCAAAGTGCTGGGATTACAGGTGTAAACCACTGTGCCCGGCCTATGCCTGGATAATTTGTAAATTTTTCTGTAGAGATGGAGATCTCACTATGTTGCCCAGGCTGGTCTCGAATTCCTGGCTTTAAGCAATCCTCCCACATCAACCTCCCAAAGTGCCAGGATTACAGGAATGAGCCACTGTGCCATGCCTTTTGTCTTTAATTGAAAAAATTAAGCCTTGTAAATAATAATATACTTACTAATGATTTGGATTTAAGTAGACCATTTTATTATTAGTTTTCTATATATCCCATCTATTCTTTGTCTCTTTTCTTCTTTCTTGTCTTCTTTATAATTTATCAAGTATTTATTATTCCAGTTCTCCCATTAGCTTATTATTTATACACTTTTAAAAATCTTATTACTTTCTCTTGACTTACTACCATTGGTCTTAAATTAATTCTTTATCACTTACCAATTAAGACAAGAAGGACCCATACAGAGCTTAGCTCCAATTACTGCCTCCTATCTTTTGTGCTATTCTAATGCACTTTAATTTCTACTGTGCTCATCTGGGTCTTCTGAGAAGCAGATGCCACAACATGGGATCAAATGTACAAGGAATTTTAGGAGAAATGACTGTTACAGAAAATGGGTGGGAACCTGGAAAGCCTCAGAGAACCATCAGACTATGATACAGGTCTGAATCTGAGTTTAGTAGAGAAAGGAGAAGTTGGAGAGGTATCCTAGATTGCTGTGCCATCTAAGGAAAACCTGGCCAGGCTGTCAGGGAGTCCTTGATCCAAGTCAGCCATTAGATGAGTCCTCTGTATCCCTAGAATGGGCCTGCCTTCATCTCCCTGCAGCTCTCAGTCACTGGCCAAAAGCAACCTGTGGAAAATATAGTGCTCCATGAAATCCATGCACAATAGACTTTAAGCACTGCAGCTATGGCCATTGGTTAGAAAATTACTATTATTTTCAACAATGTTTGTTTAGTTTTACCTGTGTATTTACTGTTTCTGTTGCTCCTGTGTACCTTGCTTCTATCTGCCTGAGGAATGCCCATTAGCATTTCTTTTAGTGCCAATCAGCTAGTAATTCTGTTTTATTTCACCTTTATTTTTAGAGGATATTTTCACTGGATATACAATTCTAAATTAGTAGTTATTATCTTTCTTCATCACCTTAAAGTTGTCATTTTACAGTCTTTAGAATTCCCTTCCTTCTGTTGAAAAGTTAGCTATTGGCTTTATATTTGCTCCTTAAAGATATATATATATATATATATATGTATATATATATGTGTGTATATATATATATATATATATATATGTGTATATATATATATATGTATATATATATGTGTGTATATATATATGTATATATATATGTGTGTATATATATATATATATATATATGTATATATATATTTTTTTAGACAGTCTCACTCTGTCACCAGGCTGGAATGCAGTGGCGCCATCTTGGCTCACTGCAACCTCTGCCTCCTGGGTTCAAGCTGTTCTGACTCAGCCTCCCAAGTAGCTGTGACTACAGACATGCACCACCACGCCCGGCTAATTTTTGTATTTTTAGTAGAGATGAGGTTTCACCATGTTGGCCAGGATGGTCTCGATCCCCTGACCTCTTGATCGAAACCCTCCTCAGCCTCCCAAAGTGCTGGGATTACAGGTGTGAGCCACTGTGCCCGGCCTTCTCTAGATGTGTTTAAGATTTTTCTCTCTTTTTTTTCCCCTCAGAAATCCTACTATGACGGGCATAAGTGTGGTTTCCTCTTATTTGTCCTTCTCGGGATTTGTAGAGCTTCTTGAGACTGTTGCTTGATGACTTTTATTAGTTTGGGAAAATTCTTGGCCAGTGTCCTTCAACTACTGGTTTTTGCCTTTCCCTATTTTCTCTCTCCTTTCCTGTTGATTCTCTAATTTTATGTATGTGAGACCTTTTCACTGAATCCTATATATGCCTCTCAGACTCTTGTCTATATTTTCTAAGCTTTTATCTCTGTTTGAATTGGAATCTTTTCTACTCATCTTCCAGTTCACTAATTTTTTTCTTCTGCTATATCTAACCCATTGTTAATCAATCTATTGGATTCTTAATTTCAGTTATAATTTTTTAGTTGTATTATTCCCATTTGGTTATCTTTTACAGACTTCGGTTCCCTGATAAAATTTTACATCTTTTTATCTAATTCTCTTGAATATATAAAATACGGTAATTTTAAACTCTGTTTCCAATAAAGCTAATGTGTAGACGGCCTGTGGGTCAATTTCTACTATCTACTTCTTTTCTTGGTTTTCAGTCATTTGGTCTTATTTCTTAGCATGCCTGATAATTTTTGATTGAATGAAATTTTATAGAGGCTCTGCATGATATTTTCTTTCACAGAGCATTTAATATTCTTCTGGCAACCTGACAGAATATAGGTAGATTATCTTGATCCAATGTTGAGACTAATCTATCCCTTGTTTGTTCTTACTCTTCCTACAGAGTAGCCTTTCTGGGGTTTCAATTGAAAGCTTAGGGGTATTTCCCAGGTCCCTTCTTCTTGGTTGGCCCTCCAATCCAATTTTTGTCCCTAAGGCTTTATGAGGCTGCAAAAAACTCTGCTTAGCTTTTAAGGCTCTTAGCAGCTACTTTCTGCTTGATTTCTCAGCATCATGTCTCATCCTACCTACATGCTGCTTAGAAGTTGACAACTGTGTTGAGAAACTATGACCCAGAAAGTCAAGCTCTTCTCAAAGTGTAGAGTCTTTTTCTCAGTCTCCAGGATCTAGGCTCCTCATCTTTATTCTTTTGTATACTCTTTTGGGTATTCATCCATGTCTTCCAACAACAGGGATTTTTCCTTCCAGATCTCATAGTTATTCTTGGAAGGAAGTTGGTCTAATACCAGCTACTCCTTCATAACCAGCTCTGTGCTTTTTAATTCCTCCACTGCACTAGTATGCCTCTCATTTATTAAATACATTAGTCTCTTTCTATCCTGAAGTAGTACCAATTTATTAATAATAGTAATGAATGTGGTGAATCCATATGGTAACAAGTACAGTTTAAAAAAAAAAAACACCACACCCACACCCACACACACACACACACACACACACACACACAAGCCAGGCATGGTGGCTTATATCTGTAATCCCAACAGTTTGGGAGTATGAGGCAGGAGTATAACTGGAGCCCAGGTGTTTTAGACCAGTCTGGGCAACATGGCAAGTTCCCCATCTATTAAAAAAAAAAAATAGCCAGGTGTGGTGATGCATGCCTGTAGTTCCAGCTGCTCAGGAGGCTGAGGCAGGAGGATTGTTTAAGCCCAAGAGATTGAGGTTACAGTGACCTATGATCGTGCCACTGCACTCCAGCCTAGATGACAGTGCAAGACCCTGTCAATCAATCAATCAATCAATCCAAAACATTGTTTCTGCTAACAGATATTTTTAGATAACTTGTATGGAAATGTTTAATTATTATATTTCAATTAGTTCTAAAGAAACAACCTTCACTTAACATGGTTGATTAACCACAGGTATTTCCTTCCTCTCTCAAAATGCCACTATAATGACAGTAAGAATGAAAAATGAAGTAGCTTGTAAAAACAAAGAGAGCATGAAAAGCAAGTATCTCCCCCTGCCCCATTCCCAGAATTGGGAACTAAAAGAAAAAGCTCACGGCAAGTCTGTATCCAAATTGTAATTTATAAAATTTCAAATTAAAACTGACTTCATATAAAATAACCTAATGTTCTTCCCTCAGTTAATTATATAGGCTACCAACTATTTTATGTTAATAACAACAGATTTATACAATCTACATTCTCTTATCCAGTTTCTCCACAATATAGCCATTACTTCAAAATCAAGAAAAATAACTTATTGACTTTATAGATAACTAGTTACAGAAGTAATATATTTCTGTTTATTTGGAAAAACACAGTAAAGAAGGTGTGCCTAAAAGCAGCCCTTAATATTAAAACTAAACAACAAAGCAAAAACCTGCCATCCACACCTATTTATCAGGCACATAGCTTCAGCACCTAGTGAGCCTTAAAAATGATTCAAATCCAAATTTCTATAAATGACAAGTTTTAGTAAAAACAGTGTCAGAACCGTAATACTGTGATAATACAGGTATTATGAAAATACTTTCTATATACAAAACCTACAATTCTCAAAATGAAAGGAGGATTTACATGATCACTTGAGTAGGATAGCCATAAGTAATCCACTAGCAAGCACTAAGTACTGAGACTGCAGTGGCAGGGTTCAGTAAAATAAATGCAAAACACAGGGTGTAATTTCATTGCAAGTTAAGCTAGTTATTGAAAATACATGAGTGAATATAGATTCAATTTGCATATACATGCAGCACAGTTAATAGCTATCAGGTAGGGATATTTGGAAAGAAGAGAGGTAGGCTGTTCTATCTAGAAAAATCATAGGAAAAATTAACTGTAATGTGCTGGTAGACAATTTTCTGTGAAAGTGTTAGAAAGACATATTCTTTTGTCAAAGCACAGAAAGCTGGATGAACTATACTTCACACTTGAGAAAAAGTTAAGTTTCATGTCAGATGCATCTATTACTATAAGCATGTATGCATTTCAAATACATGATTCAGTTATTCTTAAATATAACTGAATTAATTATTATGATGCAGTAGCTAATTGGCTTATAATTATTTCTTTTTTCTTCCTTTTGTTCAATTACTCTAAACCTTATAATTTTCCTCTCCATCTTAATTATGCATCGTTGTTCTTCATTTTTAAAGAATATCTGCTCATTTTATTTCTGGCTTTTAAGTTTATTACCAGCAAAAAGTACACAACAGTGATCTTTGTTAAACTATCTGCAAATTACAATTTAATTCTAATCAACTAACAATCCTTTGTTAATTTATTCAATACTTACTAAGCACACACAACATAGTGAATTAGGTGCTGAGAGAAAAATATGGACAAATAAGAAAGTTCATTTTTTTCAGTTTCTTGGAGAAGAGCACAAACACAGATGGTTTCTTCATTTGTAAAATGAAAACGATATCTATTTCACATGGTTGCTTAAAGAATAACATAATTAGGATTGGCACGTTGGCTCATGCCTATCATCCCAGCACTTTGGAAGGCTGAGGCAGGTGGATCACAAGGTCAGGAGTTTGAGACCAGTCTAGCCAATATAGTGAAACCCTGTCACTTCTAAAAATACAAAAAAAATAGCTGGGCGTGGTGGCAGACACCTGTAATCTCAGTTACTTGGGAGGCTGAGGCAGGAGAATCACTTCAACCTGGGAGGTGGAAGTTGTAGTGAACCAAGATTGCACCACTGTACTCCAACCTGGGTGACAGTGTGAAACTCCATTTCAAATAATAATAATAATAATATAATTAGCCGGGCGCTGTGGCTCACGCCTGTAATCCCAGCTCTTAGGGAGGCAGAGGCGGGAGGATAGCTTAAGCCCAGGAGTTCGAGACCTGCCTGGGCAATATAGCGAGACCACGTTCTCCACAAAAAGGAAAAAAACAAAAACAAACAAAAAAAAAGACAAAAAAAATAATAATAATATAATTAAATCATTTAGCACAGTATCTGACCCTTGATAAAAGCACTTAATAAATGGGAGTAGGTGTTGCTGCAACAGCTACTCCTGATTTACTATTTTTTTTAATTTTGAGTTCCAGGATACATGTACAGGACGTGCAGGTTTGTTACATAGGTAAACGTGTGCCGTGGTGGTTTGCTGCACAGATCAACCTATCACCTAGGTATTAAGCCCAGTATACATTAGGTATTTTTCCTGATGTTCTCCTTTTATAGACTTACTATAGTAAGTCCTTACTATAACATGCTTTAGAATTTTCTACATACCTATCTATCAACATGGGGGGAAAAGATGGGTTAGATTACCAATTTACAAAACTATACACTAACATTAAGAAACCTTACAGAAAACTTTCAAATTATAAGATATTCTTTTGGAAATTAAAATATAAATATTAACTACTTTGAAAACAATAATGTTAAGGCATTCTAAAAATATTGTCAACTTTTTTCTTTTTGTTTGTACTGAGATTGGATTTATTTAAATAGCTGAATTAAGACCAAACAACACTAACAATAAAAAGTAAAAGAAACATAAATACAGGGGAATGTACTCATAACGTCATGTAAAAATCTCCTTTGCCACTCCCTGTGTACCTGTCAATAAAAGACTCAAAATATCCAAGAGCATCAGCTTTATACTAGAGTCTTACTCTATTTTTGCTACAGGTCTGAGTTAATATCTTGAATTTCAAGTGGATAGGAGTGCCCACCTCCTAAGACTACTCCTACCCCACACTCAACCCTCAATCACCATCACCTTTTGGGTGAGGTTCTAAACCCAGCAAGAGAAGAGGATGAGTTGTCTTCTCAGACAAAGGAAGATGCAAATCATTCCTTCTGGGAGGGTTAGATTATTATCTCAGAGGAGTTGATTCTTGTAAAACAGAAAACTATACTCTTGACCCTCAGATCTTCCATCTAGCCTATCTCTACAAATGGCATTTCCAGCTGTTCACTGGTTCCCAGCAGAAACCTGGTATTCATTTGCGACCTCCTTCTCTATCTAACCTTCACTCCAATTAATTAAATCCTGTCCATTCTGCTACCAAAGTATATCCCAAATCTGTCCACTTTGCTCCATCTCCATGCCACCACTGCCATTCCTGAGCTAGCTAACCTTTATGCAAGTTGGAGAAAGAAACCTCTTCTTTTGGGCAGATAGTGGGGCTGGAATTCAGCCCCTCCAGAATCTTGGTTGGTGGCCCTGGACCCCAGACCAAGCCATCCTGCACTGTTGTAATCAGTTCCTCAATGTTTTGCCCACATCACACCACTGCACTCCAGCCTGAGTGTCAGATCAAAACACTGTCTCAAAAACATTTTAAAAACTAGAGGGTCATTTTATCCTTCAAATGAAGGAGGGTATATCAGTCACATATCTTTATTAGTAGCATGATCCTTTTAGCAATTATCTGCCACTCAGTAATCTAAATAAAGCTTACTTTGCTGGAATTATTTGGTAAGAAATAATTCAAAAAATAGCTTTTATAATAAATCTTTTCCATTTTAATAGAATAATATTTTTACTAAGCATGATTCCCCAAAACAGATTTTATCACTTGCATATTACATCTACACAAAATGTAGTTTGTCATCCTAATATTATTTATATGATAAAATTACCTTTGTGCTTATTTAGAAGCTTGTAGCCCTCACAGTATCTGCCTGATGAAGTCATCATCTTGGCTGTGTCAAGATAGGAGTATGCTGCAGCAAAATCAAACTCGTTTTTACCATCCCACCAACCTTTCTGCTTAGCATAGGTTCTTATGTCTGGGTGTTCCCAGTCAATCTTGGTTGTTATGGAAAGCTGATTAGAAATATTACGAACTCCCTCTATTTTCAAAGAAGAAGAGGAGAAGGGAGAAGAAAAGTCATATTTAATATAAAGCATGCATCTATACATTATGATTCTTAATTACTATTTAAATGTAAATATCGACTTCTAAATTTTGTGTCATGTGCATGTGCATCTATTACATATTCAAAAAATAAATGCTTTTTAAAATTAAACTTATTTTGAGATAATTGTAGATTCACATGCAGTTACAAAAAATAATACTAAGAGATACTGTGTACCCTTTACCCAGTTTCCCCCAATGGTAACATCTTGTCAAACTGTAGCTTAGCATCACAACCAGAATATTGGTATTAATATAGTCAAGATGAAGAATACTTGTCACCACAAGGATCCCTCATGTTGCCCTTTTACAGCCACAACTACTTATCTCCCACCCCAAATCCTTCATTAACCTCAGGCAACAGCTAGTCTGTTCTCCATTTCTATAATAGTAATTTCAAGAATGTTATATAAATGGGAACACTACAATATATAAACTTTTGGCTTTTTTCACTGAACACAATTCTCTGAAGATTCATTAATGTCGCTGTATATATCAATAATTTATTACTTTTATTGCTGAGTAGTATTCCAGGTATGAATGTATGATCGTTTGCTGACTTTTTCACAAGGTAAAGGATATCTGAATTGTTCCCAGTTTTCAGTCATCATAGAGAAAGTTGCTATACTTGTGTACAGATTTTTGTGTAAATGTATGTAAATTTTTATTTCTCTGGGATAAATGCACAGGAGTACAATTGCTAAGTTGTATGGTACTTGCATGTTTAGTTTTTTTTTTTTTTTTTAACTGACAGACTATTTTCTAGAGTGGTTGGCTATACATTCTTACTAGCAATGTATGAATGATGCAGTCTCCACATTCTTACCAGCATTTGGTAATGTCACTATTTTTTCTTTTAGTCATTCTGATAGAAGTATAGTAAAATCTTATTGGGGTTTGCATTTCCCTAATAATGTTGAACATCATTTCTTGTGCTTATTTGACATCTGTACATCTCTTTGGGTGAAACGACTCTTCATATCTTTTGCCTATTTAACTGGACTTTTTTTAACTGTTGAGTTTTGACTGTTCTTTATATATTCGAAATACTAGTCCTTTTTATAATTATTTTTTTAATTATAAATAAGTCTAGAATCAAAATTTATGACTTCCAAAAACATTATGGCATGAAACTATAGACAAAGTTTTCAACTAACATACAAAATAGGAAAAATAAAAGCCCATCTTAGAGATTATACTAAATGAAATAGATTATGATAAATAAAAATTGATAATGTTTTAAAAACAACGAAAATGACAGTCTGTCAAGTAAAAATCAACGAAATTACTCTAATGAAGTCATACTTGGGATACCCTCATTACAAAACCAGATCCGAGTCATGACAGAATCAGATGGAAGAATTTTCTTTCTTTCCCCCTTCGCCTTCCTTATTTTCTTTTCTTTCAACAGGGTCTCACTCTGTCACCCAGGCTAGAGTACAGTGGCACAATAATAGCTCAGTGCAACCTCAACCTCCTGGATTCAAGCAATCCTCCCCACCTCAGCCTCTTGAGTAGCTGGAACTATAGGTAAACGCCACCCCACCCAACTAATTTTTGTATTTTTTGTAGAATTGAGGTCTCACTGTGTTGCCCAAGCTGGTCTCATACTCCTGGGCTAAAGTGATCCTCTTGCCTCAGCCTCCCAAAGTGCTGGGATTCTACGCATGAGCCACCATGCCCAGCCAATAATTTTCCGTTAATAAATAATTCCCTACCATTTAACAATTTAGTTATTGGGCTCAATTAGTAACAGAAAGGGAAACCAGTTGGCAAAGTTAATCTATAGCTAGACAATCAGGTCCAATGAAGGTGTTCATTTTAGATGGCCAGGTGGAGCTTTTTCAACAAAATGTATTTATTCATTTCTCTCTTGCGTGTAGTACATTTAATGAAATAAAAGTGCTCAACGGCATTATCAGGCCAATTATCACAGGACGAAAAAGTCTAACTATAATGTTATATATCAACAAACATATGTGCAAAACATAAAACAAAATGTCCATCAAAACAACTGGTAATGACCTGTTTTGAAAAATAACACCCAAATCCTCCAAAGTTCAAGGCTACCTTCGTGAAGCCTTTCTGAACTCCTCTAGCTCACAATAACCTTTCTGTTCTCTAAATGTTCACAGCATCTATGTGTCTGTATCATTCATGCACTGTTTAACATTTTCACATGTATATCTTATCTCTCTAGTAGACTAGGAGTCCAGGAGTTAAACACCCAAGAAGCACATGATTATGCTTAAACATAAGGCTATGTTCTAGTGAAAGAATATTGAACTGAGATTCAAGATGAAAAGATCTAAATTCTAGGTCATTCATTCACCACCTTAAATCACCTTATGTCTCTGGCTTTCCTCACTTGAAAAATGAGAGAAATATATGATCACAAAGAAAATGAGAAAGAAAAATCAAAGCATTCTACAACAATCAAATAATGTTGTTTTATTCAAAGATACAGAATGTTTATGTTTTACTATTATATCAACACAGCTTTTCCAACCACCAACTCACAAACACTTGTCTCTAACCCCATTCCCATTTCCTCACCTCCACACTTACATGTAAGATTATGGAGTGCAGCCCAAAGTTTAAAGGGGAAGAAATGGTAAGGGATTATTAAAGTGAAAAAGTATTATGAAACAGCCAAGAGCTGCAGCAAAGAAAGTAAGTACAGGTTATGTGAAATTCATATTCCCAGAGGTAATGCTAACTTTTTATCTTTTTCAAGAAAGCTCTTTATAGCACTTTTTCACTGTTCTTTCAAATTTTAGAATTTCCCTTGTAGTTCAACCCTTCATTGGACTAGATTATCAATCTTGGAAACGATTAAATGCAATATGTACAGGTAAGGGTGTATTTTATTAATTGCAAAACAAGTTAAATCACCAAAATTTGTCCATACCTTGAACTTTTTCTGCTGCCCAGTACTTCCCTGCAGTCTCCAGTATCCAGGCTTCATTCCTATCAGCTATCAGGAAACTGTTGTGATAGCTAAATGCCATCCTACCCTCTGTGCAATTTCCACCCTGGCCATATTTTTCTAATAAATCAACAATGACATTGAGGGCTTTTTCAGCTGTATCAGCTCTTTCAAGGCCAAGTCTAAAACAAAAATATAAAGTTCTCAGGTTAAAAGAAATTTCCATTATTTTTCTTAAATAATTTCATGCTTATGAGATTTTTTACATTTAAAGTAAAATTTCTTTCAAGTTAACAGATGAAATGACATTTAACTTTAAAATTTTCCCTTCTGAAGTCAGTCTAGAATCATTGAAACAAAGTTTCTGGAGTCAAACAAACCCATCAAATTTGAAGTTGGTAATTCACTGTCAAGTTACTTTACCTCTGAACTGCAGATATCTCATTTGTAAAATGAGCACAGTAACCCATGAGGTTATGGTGAGAATTAGTTAAGGTGTGATAAAGTATGTTAGGTACTTCCAATGAGTTATAATTTCTACTTCTTCCCTTCTCCCAAATAATAATATCTGAAAGCTGGGCATGATGCCTTGTGCCTATAATCCTAGCTCTTCAGGAGGCTGAGGCAGGAGGACGGCTACAGGGCAGGAGTTCAAGACAAATGTAAGCAACATAGCAAGAACCTGTCTCTGAAAAAACAATTTAATTAAAAATTAGCCAGATTTGGTGACATGTGCCTTTGATCCAACCAAGCTACTTTGGTGGCTCAGGTGGGATGATTGTTAGAGCTCAGGAATTCAAGGCCACAATGAGCCATGATCACACCGCCATACTCCAGCCTGCATGACGCTGTGATCTCGTCTTAAAAAAATAAATAAGGAAAACAAACAAAACTGAGAATCATGAAATTGCAAGTTGTTACTCTAAAATATTTTGACACAAAGTATCAAAGCCCCCTAAAAAATAAGAAAATAAAACAAGTAAGAGTTATACAAAAAATTACAAATTTAGACAAGGTCTATAGTATAATATACAACAAAAAAAAAACCTGACAAGATCCATTCCTAGTAGTGCTTCTTCATCAGAAACTTCTTCTCTTCCCCATACAGCTTCATTTCCAATGCAAACTCCATGCTCATTGGCTCCCATTTCTGCACCCCACAACCAAGCTGGGCGACTCAGGACAACAGCATATGTTTCAGGAACTTGATCAATTTCTATATATGTACACTGTAAGGAAAAAAAAAAGTCATAGCATGAACCACAAAACCAGAAAAGTTATCAAAATCCAGAATTTAAAAAATCAGTCAGAAGACAAGACTGTTATTAAAGAGGGAAAGGAATAAAATTAAACTGAAATTTTCAATAAAAGGCATTGCTCTTAAAACATATTCAGAATAACCCTAAAGTATTATATTCATTCAAATATTTGCTTAGCATTTCCTATTAAAAAACATTCTGCCAAGAGATATGTTAGTTACAAAGATGAATCAGATACAGATCTCACTTTTGAGAAACTAAAACTTGTACATTAACTAGGATAAATAAAGCATAAAGTATTAGGGTCATGAAGTAACGATGAGGTGTTAGTGAAGCTCAGGAGAAACATGGTCTCCAGCTATAACAACTTGAAACATTTTTGTAGATGTATGTGAGTTGAAGCTTAAGGAAGTAGTTCTCAACCTGAATGTCCAGTGTTACTTGATTAGTGATATAAGTACCTATGGGGTAGCCTTTGAATACAAGAGTATTGCCATAGGAATCTCATGTCGCATGTTGAAGTCATCCATTAGATATGTCCACAGCAATGAAAAGAATGAGAAACACTGGTTTACAGGATAGGCTAGATTTAAATACGAAGAGATAAAGTGGAAATGGTATCACAGATGAATAAGCGGTCTTAGCAAAAGAAAAAAATATGGCATAGTATACAGAAAAATCCAATATTTAATATGTTTTAATATTAGAATATTAATACAATAAAATCTTCAAAGTATGAATTAGCAACAATAGCATAATTTGAAGCTCTCATTTTAAGTTCCACATTAAGTGGGTTTTTAAAATAAGTTCTCAAAGGATCCTTTAATTAATGTGTATAGTACTGCATAAAATGTATATTGATACTGTTAACACAGGGCCTAATAAACCTTTTTGATGTGTCATAAAACTGTCATTCTCAGAGTCTGGGTGACTTTCCTATTCTACATAAAGTAGAACCTCTATCACTTCAGAATCAGAATCCTTTTTGTTCATCGAACTCCAGCTAACTCCAAGCTGAATTAAATGTTCCTTCTCTTCTGCTGCCACAGCATGCTGCTCTTACTTAAATTTAGCATTTAAACCATCCTATTTTATAATGGGGTATAATCATACACGTCTTATTCCTATACTAGACTCTAAGTTCTTGGAACAGTCAGAGTCTTGACAGCTGACTTTAAATCTCTTGCCGTATCTAACATGCCTGCATATGGAAAGCATTCAGATAGTTAATAAAAGAATGAATAATTTTTATTACTGTTATTTCGACTTCCTCCAAATCACTGAAATAAAAGATCAGAGTTTATTTCTGACACATTTATTTTTCAAATTTAAATTCCTCAATTTTAACTTCTACAGTTTCTTCCAAATTGCTATTTATAGAAATAGCTTTATGATACTTTTAAAAATCACACTGCTAACAAAACATTTATTTCACCTACCTTAAGATGTTCTCCCAGGTTATCATGAACTGCAGCAGGAAAATAAACTACCTCTTGTACTTCGTCACAGAGTCTATCTGAATTTTTTCCAAAAATAATCCTGTTAGCGACTGTTGCTGGAGGTAATGCCACGAAAGTGTCACAGGAAAAAGGTTCCATTTTTTTTTAACTAAAAATTATACAAAAGTTTCAAAATTAAAAAAAATACTTTGAGTATTTGGGTTTTACTCAATGACCAAAGGATATTATTACCAAATCTAATGTTTATTAAAGCTTTGATTTTTTTATTTTTGTTTTTTGGAGACAAGGTCTAGCTGTTTGACTCAGGCTGGAGTGTAATTGTGTGATCACGACTCACTGCAGCCTGGAACTCCTGGACTCAGGAGATTCTCCTCCTTCTGTCTCCCAAAGCACTGGGATTACAGGCATGCCTGACCATGCTTGGCTGTTCATTAAAGTTTTAAATTTCATATATTATAGCACAAAAATCAGTAAGAATATGACTTGGAACTCAATCTTGTACTACAAATCAATAAGAAAATGACAAATGAGAACTACCTTCTAGTCTATAGTTCAAATTTATTCTCTAAGACCTTTCTCTCCTAAAGTCTTCCCTGAATTTCCTTTCACCACTTCCATATTTGGGAATCCCTGTAGCTAGCTCTACTGTTGTAAAGGCTATATTCTACTGTATTTGTGTATATATGAGTCCCTTTACTGGACGAGATCCTTGAGGGCTGGGAGTATATCTTACAAATCTTTGTATTTTCATTGCTGGAACTTGTCTTATGGAAAAAAATCTTACGTGCCAAGTACTTCCTCAAAGGAAGGAAGAAGGGGTCTTCTTTGAGCTGAGAAAAAATATAGACAGATAATTCTGATGAGACGGAAATTTTGAAACACTCACTGATTCAGACAAAAATGTCAATATAATTCCAAATTGCTGATATTTCTAGGAGAAAGTTCACATATTTAATTTATAAATCCCAGTTGTATGCTTTAATATCTACATTATCTCTTTAATTGTAATTTGGAAAATCTTAACTTTTCAGTTATAATAGAACACCTAAAGGTCCTTGTTTTGCTGCCAGAATGGACACATTGTTTTAGTTTCCTTCTTTCCTTTAATAATGACAAAACCTTAGAATGGCTTTACATAGGCAGATGCTAGCAATTTAAAAACAAAATTTTAATATAATAAATGTTTCCTTAAAAAGAAAACAAAATGGCAAGAAAAAACTTCAGTTGGAACTCCCAAGGGTTTTCCTCTTCTCAGCAAGAAGTAGACAGAGATCATGACGGCTTCTGTTATTTTCTTTGTATATTTCAACACTTATGTCCTGGATCTCCTTCTATTTGTGTTCTGGAGTTAGTTCCATCACTATGTAACTTTGGCAGACTATTTAATCTCTCTCTTCCCTGTGCCTTCTGCCTCATCAGTAAAATAAAAGATACTATTTGATGGGCTGTTATGAGAACTTAAGGCAACATATAAAGTGTTTTGCACAGTACAGATTACACAGTAGACACAGGAAAGCTGTTATTGTTCTTATTTGGTAGGAGAGGAAATTTCTTATAAAGGCTTATTATTTTTTTAATTTTTTTATTTTTTTGAGACGGAGTTTCACTCTTGCTGCCCAGTCTGGAGTGCAATGGCGATCTCGGCTCACTACAACCTCTCCCTCCCAGGCTCAGATGATTTTCCTGCCTCAGCCTCCCGAGTAGCTGGGATTAACAGGCGCGTGCCACCACGCCCGACTAATTTTTTGTATTTTTCATAGAGAGGGGGGTTTCACCATGATGGCTGCTCTCGAACTGCTGACCTCAGGTGATCCATCCGCCTCAGCCTCCCAAAGTGTTGGGATTACAGGCGTGAGCCACCGTGACCGGACAAGGCTTATTCTTAACATCGCCCTGATGGAGAACTTGGTGGATCACCTGCTGCAGTAGCAGCCATGTCCATTCAAAACCGTGGAGTCTCAAGGGCCGTCAAGATGCAATAGGTAATCTGAGCTGCCTAACTGGGATCGTAGGGAAAGCTAAGGAAACTTGCAGCCTGGTTAGAATGGCACTTAGCCCACTGAGGAGGTGAAGCCTTGAGAGATTTTACCAACTCCTAACGCGTATTCGTCATTCAATATTTATTGAATGTCTTTCAGCGCCAGCACCCTACAGCTGAGGACAAAATAGGGCCTCCGTTCTTGCAGAGCTGTCTATTTCACGCGCTCTTAGTTCACTCGGCGCTTTCAGAAACATCATATTGTTGGATTCCCGCAAACATACTACGGTTAGGGCAGGAATTATCATTTCCATGATACAGATGAGAAGAACGGTGCAGAGAAGTTTTTGCAGCTCGAGTTAGAGTTCACAGAAAGTAACGGGCTCGAGCTTCAGGCACCTCCGGTCGAAGAGGCGCCGCGATCCACCCCGCACTCCGGCCTGAGGCGCTCAAACTGCAGCCGGCGCAGCTGGGCCCCAGAGCCCCTCGGTCAAGCAGCGCCGCGCGACTCTTTGGTCTTTCTGGGTTTTGCCTCAACTATGCAGGCCCCTCCCCCGTGCTCGCCCCTCACCTGGCCTCCCAGCTGCCCGAAGAAACTGGTCGACAGAGGGAGGAGTGGCCAGTGGAGACAACAGTTCCCGGAAGCTGTCACCTTTGACCTCGGAAGTTCCCCCCTGCCGCTGGAAACGCAGTTCCGGTTAGGTGGCTGAGTTTGTTTACGTTGCCTGCAGATCTAGCTGCTGCTTTCCTCAGCTCCAGCTCCAAGATGGGGAAATCCTTCGCCAACTTCATGTGCAAGAAGGACTTTCATCCTGCCTCCAAATCCAATATTAAAAAAGTGAGTAAAGAGACCAGGGGAGGGATCAGGCCCACGGGGACTGCCTTCCCAAAGGCTGCTGGAAGTGAAAGTGGTGGTGTCTCTGAGGTCCCTAGGACAGCCCCCTCTTTTCTAGGCCAAAAGCCCTGGTGGTCTCGCCTTTCTTACTGAGCAACTCGCTTACGCAACGGGTCCTCAAAGTTTGTTCTGAATGGTGAGGAGTCTGGCAGCCTAGAGGATCTTTGTCGGCCGGAGCGTAACTCCATAATGTGTGGAGACTAATGTCAATTCCTCAGTACGTCCCTCAGCTGATTCTGGTTTTGTCTTTTCGGATCCCAGGGATCACGGCTTCTGAACTCTACCCTTGTGTACGGATAAGACGCCCCATTTCTTTAAGATACATCTTAAAGAAATTCATCCAATAATCTAACGTCTTTTTGATGACCTCGTTGAAGTTTAGTGTTTTACATAATTACAGGTCTAGCAGGTGCAATAGTTTGGTGAATATCGTAGTAATGAAAAGCAGAAGAGTGAAGTAGAAAGAATCGGCTTTGGAGTCGCACCTGGATTCTAGTTATTCAGGCAGTCACTTTTAGCCTTAAGTCCTTGCATAAAATATTTTAAATATCTGATCCTCAGTTTCCTAATCTGTAAAATAAGGATGATTGACTTGATTGTGAAGATTAACTGAAATAGTGGAGATAAAGGATTTGAAATAATGTAGGCATCTGTCAGTGTCCACTAGCGAGGAGGTAGGTGCTCAATAAAATGTTAATTGCCTCTACATAGAAACTTGTGAAAATAAGCTTTTATTTGTTTTTAAAACGAGTTGAGGTGATGAGATTTTGCCATATACTCACACTGCTAGACCAGTGAATCTCAACTTTTTTTTCACTGTTACCTTCCTAAAGAGCCTTATTAAACACTTTTTCTTGATCACTCGTCCGTGAAATTTTAATGGCACAGATATACCTTGAAAGCTCTTTGGTAATCAGCGAGCCTCATCTCCTCATTTTACAAATGAGGAAACAAATTTGCCAAGAGTTACACAGCTAGTTAAATGTTGAACCAGAACTAGGATCTGGAACACCTGATTAAGTGCTTTTTCCACTGCACCAGTTTGTGTTTGCGTAGTTTCGACTGTGGGAGGGAGAAATTTCTTGTATTTGCTTGGCTCAAGTAACTTTTGACACCAAATACAGACATTTCCTTTCTCTGCATACTCAGGGTGTTAGCTATTACTATTTTTACAAGAATGAAGAGATTAGATGGAATTCAGGTGCTTGCTTATTTGCTGTTTATATAAACAAATGTACTTGAGAAAGCATAATTTTTTACTGGAACTTTTGACATTTAGCTCTATAAAATTCAATGAAGCAGTTTTCTTACAAGAAAAAAGAAATCCACAGAGAATAACTTTAGTAAATCCACTATGAGAAATTCAGTAAAGGAATTACAGGCTTAGAACCTACATTCTTCTGATCCGTGTAAAGTGTCATGTAAAATGTATCAAATACTGTTGGCCTCTTAGATCTGTTTTATACTTTTCCCAGGATAGAGGAGAAGAATGAAGTGTTTCTGATAGCAGACCTTTATAGATAAGTTAACACTTTATGGGGGGAGGGGGTAACCTCTAGCATTCTTTATTAACTAAGGATAGAGGAACTTTAAATGAAGATAAACAGAAAAATAAAGGGCATAGGAGGAAACTTTTGGAAGTGATGGATATGTTTACAGTGTAGATCGTGGTGATGTTTTCACAGGGATATACATACCACCAAACTCAGTTGTATACATTAAATATATACAGTTTTTTATGTGTCATACTCCAGTAAAGTTTTTTGTTTGTTTTTTTTAATAGAAGTGAAAGAAAGGAGTTTCATCAAAGAGTGCAAAAGAGTTCAACCATGAAATTTTTAAGGGCCAGGTGTGGTGGCTCATGCCTATAATTCCAACACTTTGGGAGGCCAGGAATTCAAGACCAGCATGGGCAACAAACTGAGACCCCATCTATATTTAAAAAGAAAGTTCTGATTGTAAAATTAGGCATGTTGGGTTTACTAAAGTCCAGTAGTTTATATATTTATTTTTCTTGTTTATCAGTTTCCCAAGCTTACAAAAAGTCCGGTAGGTTTTAAGGCCTCCTTTGTTCACCAGAAATAACAGTGAATGCTATATATCTGCTGGTCACTTGGTTATGTATTGTTATGCACTGCCTCAATCATTTATGCCACAGGATACACTGTTTTAGTTGAGTTGTTCTTTTTTTTCTTGACTTTGTTAATGAAGGAAACATTTAATTTACATTGTGGTCCAAGCTCCTTATTTGTCTTCTTGTAGACTGACAAACAGTTTACAAACTTGCTATTGACAATAGTACCACCTTAAACTACTCCCTTTTTGTGAAACTCTCTCTTCCCCTAGCTGTAATAACTACTCTCTTCTAGTTTTCCAGCTCTCTTATTAGACTGTGTTTTTCTATCAACTTCACTGGATCTTTATTCTTAGCCTGCTCCTAAAATAAAAGTATTCCCCAGAGTTTCATCCTTGGCTGACTTCTTGCTTACTTTGTATGCTTTCCTCAAGCAATCACATCCAACTAGCCACTTTTTTTTTTTTTTTTTTTTTTTTTTTTTTTTTTTTTTTTTTTTTTTTTTTTTTNTGTAGTCTCGCTCTGTCACCCAGGTTGGAGTGCAGTGGTGCGATCTCAGCTCACTACAACCTCTGCCTCCTGGGTTCAAGTGATTCTCCCGCCTCAGCCTCCTGAGTAGCTGGGACCACAGGTGTGTGCCACCATGTCTGGCTAATTTTTGTATTTTTAGTAGAGACGGGGTTTCACCATATTGGTCAGGCTGGTCTTGAACTCCTGACCTCATGATCCGGCCACTGCAGCCTCTGTCTCAAGTGCTGGGATTACAGGGGTGAGCCACCACACTTGGGCCAGCCCATTTTAACTAGCCCGATTACTCATGACTCTGAAATCTGCAGTCCCAGTTTTCTGTTTTTAACTTTGATGTGGCTCAAGACAGCTATCTACTAGATATTTGCATCTTGATGTCCTATAGGCACCTCAAACTCAACATATCTGAAGTAAAAGTTTTTACTCCAAATCTGCCCTTTTTATACTTGCTATCTCATATGGGTAGAAACAGAGATAGCAAAACAATTCTTCATCCTGTCACCCAAACCAGAAGCTCAGGATTCATCCCTTTTCCCATCACTCCTTTATCTAGTCAATTACTGAATGCTATTGGTCTTACCTTCCAAATAGCTCTTGAATCCATATCTTCTCTCTGTCACTACTGCCTGTGTCTTAGTGTAGACCTTCTTCATCTTTCACCTAGATTGTTGCATTTTCTAAGTGCCTTCAATCTTGACTCCTCTCAAATCCATTCACTACACAGCCATCAGAATAGTCATTTTTCATTTTAACAGCTCTGCTGAGATAAATTCACATATCATACAATCACGCATGTGAAATGTACAATTCAGTGGTTTTTAAAATACATTCATGGAGTTGAGTAATCATTACCACAAACAATTTTAGAACTTTTTCATCACCCCAAAAAGAAACCCACCCTGAGCAAGGTGGCTGACACTTGTAATCCCAACACTTTGGGAGGCCAAGGCAGGTGAATCACTTGAGGTCAGGAGTTTGAGACAGCCTGGTCAGCATGGTGAAACCCCATCTCTACTAAAAATACAAAAATTAGCCGGGTATGATGGTGAGCACTTGTAATCCCAGCTACTCAGGAGGCTGAGGCAGGAGAATTACTTGAACCTGGGAGGTGGAGGTTGCAGTGAGCCAAGATTGGGCCACTGCACTCCAGCTTGGGAGACAGAGCAAGACTCCATCTCAAAAAAAAAAAAGAAAAAAAGAAACCCCCGTACCTGTTATCAGTCACTCCCATTTTTCCTTAACTCTCCTCCCTCTCTCCAGCCTTAGACAAGCACTAATCTACTTTCTGTTTGTGGATTTGCCTATTCTGGAAATTCATTTAAATGGAATCATGCTCCATTCCATGTGGTTTGGGAAAAACAAAGAAAAATAAGTAAATATAAATAAATAAATGGAATCATGTGATCTGTGGTCTTTTGTGACTGGCTACTCTCACCATGAAGAGTAGAGTATTTGTTTTTATTTATTTATTTATTTTGAGACGGAGTCTCACTCTGTAGCCAGACTGGTGTGCAGTGGCACAATCTCAGCTCACTGCAACTTCCACCTCCCTGGTTCAAGCAGTTCTGTCAACCTCTCAAGTAGATGGTATTACAGGCACATGCCACCACACCCAGCTAATTTTTGTATTTTTAGTAGAGACAGGGTTTCACCATGTTGGCCAGGATGGTCTCAATCTCCTGACCTCGTGATTCGTTCACCTTGGCCTCCCAAAGTGCTGGAATTACAGGCGTGAGCCGCTGCACCCAGCCACACCATAATGTTTTTGAAGTTTACCCATGATATGGCATCTATCAGTACTTTATTCCTTTTTATGGCTGAATAATATTCCATTGTATGGATGTAAGTTATTTCAATAGAATTGTCTTTTTTTTTTTAAAGCACAGACCTGATGATCTCTTTCAGCCCCTTATTAAAATATTACAGGATTGAGTCCAAGTAATCTCACTCCATCTTCTTTCTCCTTCCACTCCTGCTATTCTCTCATCTTAGATTTTTTTTTTTTTTTTTTTTTTTAAGACAGGCTCACTCTGTTGCCCAGGCTGGAGTGCAGTGGCACAGTCTTAGCTCACTGCAACCTCCACCTCCCAGGCTCAGGTAATTCTCCTGCCTCGGCTTCCTGAGTGGCTGGGATTACAGACATGCAGCACCACACCTGGCTAATCTT